TGGGAGATGTCTTCAAAAAGCATCATCAGGTTGGAATACTGGACAGTTGGCCTTGGCGGGAAACTCCCTTCTTCCACATGCGCAGTGAGACGGTCAGAACAATTCCTAATAACAATCCTCCAGTACATAATGATTCCCCTCCCAAATACCATGCCCCCCTCCCCGTTTCAATGGCAGCTGAAAAATAGCAGCGAAGCAGAGGCTGACATCTATATTGTAAAAATGAGAAAGTATGAAACAAAGAAGAATATGTATAAGATAATAGAATGGAAAATAGAAAACCCCAAATCAGAAAAAAGAAATAGCGATAGCAGAAAGCTGTAAAAGTGTAATTGTGACGTTAATATTTGGAAAATGTCAAATAAAAAACACTTAAAAAGAAATTAATAAAACAATAAATGCTAATGGAAAATTGATGCAAAAGCAAAAAACTCCTCTGCTAATTGATATTCTAGCACAGACAGAAGCCAGGATGCACCATATAATTCCTCTTCCTAGATGAACTGGGTATTTAAATGTCATTTATGATGCTGGTTTAAACGACTTCCCTCTCCAAATTAACTACCAAGTCTTTTCTTTTTCATGAGCCTACAGTTTCAACTTCAGAAAGTTCTAATTCCCAAACTTAAAACCAGCTAAAAATTGGATGGCAGCTATTGGACATCTGATTTCTATATTATTAATGAAAACTAACAAGTAGAGTTGATTTCCATGTCAGTTTTTCCCTTTAGACAGACTGATTGCTCTAAAAAGATGCCCAAATACTAGTGCTATTTTGCTATTGTCCCAATCTTTTAAGAAAAGTGATAAATCTGATCTTGCTCATTTCTTTCCAATCAGCTTGGAAAGAAGCATTATTAGTGAACTTTATGCTAAATATCTGAATGAGATATGCACTAACATTTGTACAAATTCAAGGTGCCCTTTAAGACTGTAATTCAATTCATGTGACCCGAGGAAAGAAACAATAATTTTAAAAGAAATGTCTATTCTTTAATTTTAAAAAAATGTAAATCAGGGTTGACATCAAGACCAAAGCTGGTGGCTGATTATATTACTGTTGATTTAGAGCAGGGGTGCCAAACTCATGATGACAGGTTGTTGCCATGTGACGTATCACAACTTTTTTCCCCCTTCACTAAAACAGGGGTGGGCATGGCCAGCATTTGACGCATCTGGCCTGCAGGCCATGAGTTTGACACCCCTGATATAGAATTTGGGAGCTTTTCTTATCTATGTAATTATTCATGACTGTTGATGTACCTTTTTCTATATCCTCTATAATTCTTGGTCAATATATTGTTGACCTCTTGGTGAAGTTTGCGTGGGAGCCCAGGAATTATTGTTAGAGAGAATTCTAATAAAGAAACATTCATTTTGCTTTGATTCATGTTTAATGGATCACTACTCTTATGTTTCTATAATGTCAATCACTTAGAGTTTGTTTGTTTGTTTTTAGGCCACGATTTTTGTTCTGAAGGACATAAGTGTTTAGAGAATTCTTTTTGCAGAAATGTTGAAGAAAAGTCAGTTTGTAGCTGCCAAGATGGTTTCCGAGCTCTTCGAGATGACAGTATATACTGTGAAGGTAAATTCTTATAAAACATGGCCATATCAGCAATAAAAATTAGTCTGGAATATTGCATGAAGTATAATTAATTAATAGCTTGCCCAAGTAATAGGGTCATGAGAACATTTAATTTAAAGCTTATTAATCAAATGAAATAATTATCTCAAATTCAGATTTTATTTTTTTGTGTCAAAGTAATACACTAATATGATTGAGTTCTTGATTTATATAATACATTAACACATAACTGTTGATTTTGTTCCATTAATCAGATTTTAGATAAATTAATTGTTATATATTTGGCCATGTTAATACATTTTGAGCTGTTGTATCATTGTAATTAAATCATTATGATTGTCCTTAAATCGTAGCATTCACAGTAAACAAAAGGACTGGAGTCTCAGGATTTTATAATATGCATAATTTTAACAACAGCATTATATTTGAAACATTGAACAAATATTGCTACAGTTATGAATGTGCTAACTCATTACATGGTTGGTTCATGGAATATACATATATGCATACATACACTGTTCGTGTGTGTAGAATGTATTGCAATAATCAAGATGGGAACTGACTAAGGTGTGAGTGGCTGTGAGCAAGAATTATTGGTTCAGAAAAGGACATAATTGGTGCACAATCCGCAGTTGCACATAGGTCACCTGGAGTTGTCAATTTAGGAGAAAGTCCAGATTATGCACTGGATCTGTCTTGGGCAGTACAACCCCATTCAAGACCAGATATAGCAATTCTCCATGGATCAAAGAACCCCAAACCCAGAGACATTCCATCTTGCCAGAGTTCAGTTTCAATCCGTTTCTCCCCATCCAGCCCTTAACATCCTCAAGCACTGTGAGAGGGAGGTCATGACATTGCTTAACTATAGGTCAAGACATATAGCTGTGTGTGAGAGAGAGGGGAGGTGTTTACACACACACACACTGAGAGAAAGAAAGGGAGAGGGATGGAGGGAGAGAGGAGAGAACGAGAACAGAAATTGGTTCATAATTCACAAGTCAGGGATATTTTGCTTCAGTTCTGTTCTGTAATCTTTCAAAACTCTAACATTCAACTGAATTTCAATGAGTTATAATTCAGATGTTAGAACTAGTATTGATTTAATATTTCTCCAGATTTTTTTGTAGTATTTTAAGGGTAGGGAGCAAATTCCCAAAACTGTATTGTTAGTAGACTGAAATTGAGCATCCTGGGACATTTAGGTCTTGCCTATTGCCCCATTGAAGTCTATAGAAGCCAATCTCTAAGACCGATCCCTGTAAATGGATTATTGAATTCTGATTGGCTGTTTACTTATGACATAATTAAGCCCCACTCCATGAACGGAATTCTCCACTAAGCCACATCACCATGCATGGAATTCCCCACAACACAAAAATTGAATATACTATAAAACTTTTTCTTGTATATATTAAAATGGATACAGTATAGCCAATGAACTCATTGGTTGTCATTAAAGATATCAAAACTAGAGACAAGACTAAATAGCCTTCAATGAGTAGAGCTGGCCTGTCTCTCAGATATCATGTAAAAACAATCAGTGACAATAACGCTATAGTTTGGAGTGGAAGATACGAGATAAAGGTGGTTGATAAACCAATAAAGCCGACGAACCAGGAGAAGATGATCATTAAAGATATTTAAACAGGAACTGAGACCGAATATCCATTGATGTGTAGAGCCGGCCGAGCTCTCAGATGTTCATCAAACACAATCTATTTCCATAACAGCAAAGTCTTGAGAGACCGATACGAGAGAACGGTGATTAATAATCCCATAAAACTGGTGGAATGAGAACACTCATTCCATAAAAGTTATGTGACCATGTACAATAACAAAACCATTCTAAAATTGAATTTACTGTAAAAAAAATGCTATTAAAATTATGAACAAAACAATATGTGAGTTACGTGTTATGATGAAGAAGTAAGGCTTGCACAGCTACTCCAAACTCAAAAAGGCAAAGTTGATTGCTCTACTAAGTAGCATGCCACTACTTGGCAAGCCAGTTCCTGATATACAGGTTGTGCCCATAATACCAGTTGTCTATGCCAGTCTCAATGGCCAGGAAAGCTTATGACAAAACCAAATCTGCAATCAACATATTTGCTCATTTGTGCCTGAAAACCCCAAAAGATTTATTATTAAAAGTTAGAAGCCCTCAAATCACAGGTCTATTCTATTTTCAACCAGCTTTACAAAAACAGAGTGCAAATTAGAGAAAGAAAGACAGTGGTCATGGAATTTGCAAAGCAATACTTTATTGACGATATTGAAGGAGTTGATGCTATTATGTTTCTAAACATGATGAGAAACAAAGTTGTAAATCCCTTAGCTACTAATTGCATGATAAAATTCAATCTGGTTCTTCATTGCATGATGGAGCACATCGATATGAAAAACAGAGAAGTTATCGACCTTGTGTTTCCATTTCAGTCAAAGACAGAAATCATATTAGAAGTGACTAACATCTGTGAACTGTATAGTAAAGCCATTGATAAGATTTTGTGGTCGCTGGCAGTATTTCAGATGTGGGGCAGTGGTTGGAGGTTTAAAGCCGTAAAAAGATTTGAGATAAAAAGCATCGCATTACCCATTAAAGGGTAAATCATACATTCTGTTTCAAACCATTTTAGCAAACAAAAAGGTCATCATCAACTTGAAGAATGGAGGTGACCAATGCTTCAAATGGTGCATGACACAAGCATTGAATCTGGTAGATAAGTGGTTCCAAAACTTTTTCAGTCCACCGCCCCCTTGGTGCTACAAACTGATCCTCAGTGCCCCCCACCCAGTGGTGGAATTCAATTTTTTTTACTACTGGTTCTGTGGGCGTGACTTTGTGGGCGTGGCTGGTGGGGTCATGTGACTGGGCGGTTTACACAATGGAAGGAAGATAGTAACAGTAAAATTCAAAACTAACAATTAATTGC